TCAGTGAATCCTCTTTATTGACTTTCATCCAGTCTTCTCTTTATGGTAGTTGGATGTTGTGAACTGCTTTTATTTTTACCATGAAAATGATTCTGCAATCGTCTACCACTGTTTTCTTCTGTGGAAGTCCTGGTCGTTTGCATTGCTAAGTTCACCAGTGCCTTCTTTCTTTCTCATGATCTACTAAACTGTAGATTTTGTAGCAAGAACTCGGATGTTTCTTTTTTCTGTTTTCAAAGTTTAACGATGGCTTGTTTCATCTGCATGGAGAGCTCCTTTGACCACATGTTGTCTGTTCACAGCAAAAGCTTCCAAATGCAACCAAATCAACTCTAGGCCTTTTTTATGCTTAATTGATAATGACATAATGAAGGAATTACCTGCAGCTGCCCATGAACTAGCCTTTGAGTCAATTGTCCAATTACTTCTGGTCCCTTTAAGAAGAGGGTAACATAACTTAAAAAACTAAAACTCCTAAACAATGAATCTAATTTTAAAATGGATACCCTTAAACAAAAGCTAAGAGTCTACACATTATGTCCATGCCCACTATATAACTATAATTGTAATATGTTTCACTAAAAAGATTTAAAAAAAACAACTCGTATTAGTATCCAAATATACATGTGGATCTAATTGTAACCTATTCAAGAGTAGATGATGCATACATTAGTTTTTAGATGGGAATATGGTAGCGTGATAAAAATATTTGTTCATTCAACAGATTTTTCCATGGGGTGGTAAAAGGCGCTCCAGCTCTATCTCTGTCGGTCTGAGCTCATTAATATCTGCAAGAAAATAAAAAAGGAAAAGAGCAATTTTACAGTTATTTATAGAGCAATTAAAATAAACATATATGCAAACTGGGTATTTGTAAAAATATAAAACTTATAAAACCACAAATAAACAAAGGAAGACAGCAAAAATTGATAATAGAAGAAAATGATTTGCTAATCAGCCAATTCTTTACTCTAAATCAGGGGTCGGCAAACTTGTTGGCTCAGGGGCCTCACTGAAGTTTAAAATTTACAAACCGACCAGGCCAGCATCCGATGCATACAAATCAAACAAAAACATTAAGTGTCAGGAGTTGTGGTGTGGAGCGAGGGAAAAGAGGACTCAAACGCAGGACTCGTTGAAGAGTGAAAAACTGAAAGCCGTGTTTATTGTAAAAAAGTGGACAAACCGAACATGAGATGAACGGCTGGCTGACTGAATGATTGGCACAGGCCTGACGGCAAGACAACATCACATCAATGACACAACAATGGACTGCTGGAACTGAGGAACTTAAATACACAGGCTGAATGATTAGTGATTAGAGACAGGTGAGTGAACAGCTGAACATAATGAACTAATGATAAATGGGAAGAGGACTGAACATAATGCACACAGACCAAGGCTAACACAATAAAACAGGAAGTGGAACAGGCAGAAGATAAGCAGTGAACATGAACTGAAAATACTGGGTCAACAACCGAGAAACCCTCACAGTACCGCCCCCCTTTCAAAGGCTGGCACCCGACGGCCGAAACAAAGAAAAACCAGAATAGTGTTGGTCAGTGCATCGAAATCTGGTGTTAGATTTGATGTGGCAATTCTCAAAACAGATCTGAGGTGTTCATCACTCAACTGGGATCTGTGGGATGCTTTGTTGTTGTTCATCACAGTGAACGTCTGTTCACATACATACGTAGAGCCAAATAACAACAGCATTCTCTGTGACATCTTCTGGATCCTTGCAAATTTGGCTGTGTTTAATGATGCATAAAACTCATCCAGTTTAAGAGAGTTGAACTTCTCCTTTAAGACAGTGTCACACTAGAGATCAATCAATTCTAACTCCAAATCATGTGGTGCTGTTTCTCGGTCTTTTGTGAAGGGACATGATATCAGCAGAAGTGACTTTTCAATTTTTTCCAAAATCAGAGAACCAATGACAGAATTCCTCATGGAGGTCATCCAGTGATTTCTTATATTTTTTCACATGTTGAGGTGCCTCTTTCAGCACACAACAGTGTGGGGAAATGAGTGGACAATTTTTGTTTTGAGAATAAAACCAGCTTGGTTTTAAAGCCCCTGACGTTTGTGTACATTTCATGCACAAACTGGTTTTTCCCTTGCAGCTTCACGTTCTGCTCATTCATGCGTGTCAGTGTGTCCACAGCAAAAGCTAAATCACAAAGCCAATATGTGTCACTCAGCTCAGGAAAATTGCCATCTTTCTCAAGTAGCTCCAAAAATGAGACAATCTCCTTTTTGAGCTCCCACACTCATTGACATGCTTTCCCCAAACTTAACCAGCAGACACTGGAGTGTTAAAGCAAGTCCTGGTGATCAGCGTCAATTTCTTCAAGAAACCTAATTTCTTAAAAACTGACAATGCTGAAGTCCCCTCACTCGAATAATGTTAAATGGCCTGTATTTGTATAGCGCTTTACTTCTCCAAAAGTTGATTCTGTTCATCTGGACATAGCGTTTTCTGGGAGAAATGTTTCGTCACTCATCCAAGTGACTTCTTCAGTCTCAGCTGACTGCAGTTTTCCCCAATCTTATAAACAGTACATTTGCATAATGACTGAAACCAGCCCATTGAATGAACAATGGGCTGTGAGGTAAGTTCCTTAATCATAATTATGCAAATTCTCATGACCATTGATCAACAACCACTGACCAAAACCCACTGATCAAAGCCCACTGATCAATGGCCATGAGTACTATTCACAGAGAGTTGGGGAATGGCTGCAATCACAGCATTGTAAGATGGCGAAAGATGTACATCTTGCTGGACTTGCTGGACCAGCTGGACTTTTGTCAAAGCTGGAAAGGCACCTAAAGAAACCTCCAGCCAATCCAGGAGAGAAGGACAACCGCTGCCCGCCTTCAGTGGGCTGGTTTCAGTCATTATGCAAATGTACTGTTTATAAGATTGGGGAAAACTGCAGTCAGCTGAGACTGAAGAAGTCACTTGGATGAGTGACGAAACGTTTCTCCCAGAAAACGCTACGTCCAGATGAACAGAATCTACTTTTGGAGATTTATTTTCCTGGATGATTGAGAATGCATCAAGACGCTTTACTTAGTCCCTAAGGACCCCAAAGTGCTTTACACTACATACAGTCATTCACCCATTCACACACACATTCACACACTGGTGATGGCAGCTACATTGTAGCCACAGCTGCCCTGGGGCGCACTGACAGAGGCGAGGCTGCCGGACACTGGTGCCATCGGGCCCTCTGACCACCACCAGTAGGCAATAGGTGAAGTGTCTTGCCCAAGGACACAATGACCGAGACTGTCTGAGCTGGGGTTCAAACTGACAACATCTCCCCGTCGCGAATAAAGTCAATGCATTTTACAACTAGCTTCACTACGTGTAAAAAAACCCAAAACAAAACAAAAAAACCTCCTGCTGTCTCCTGCTGATGTCCTCTTCTACCCTGTCCTGGATTCTTTTGAGCAACCCCATTTTTTTCCCAGTCAGATTTGGCGATCCATCTGTGGCGACGTTGGCAAGTGTACTCCAAGGTAGATTGTGCCTCTTGATGATCTCCAACACACTGTCATACCAATCCTCTCACCGCGTTTTCCCCTGTAGGGATTCCATGGCCAAAATTCCGTTATCTCAAAATTGTCATTATTCCCCCTGATAAAAATTAAAAGCTGAGCGGTGTCCTTTATGTCATTACTTTCGTCCAGTGCCAAGGAATATAACCTAAATGATTCCGCTTTTTTATTTAGCCTGCTAGCTAAGTCTTCGTCGATTAGCACAACACAGCAAGTCACTGTCCTGCGTAATGAGCTGATTTTTTCAAATTTGTCCTTGCTCTCAGGACACAAGATACCTGCTGTCGCTACTATGCACTCTTCGAGAAACTCCCCGTCAGAGAATAGCTTGCTGGCCTTTGTTAATTTGAATGCCAATAAATAACTTGCCTTTGTGCTTCATTCTTGGATGGTAGTTTGTCGCATATAGGTGTTTTGTTTAGCCTGGAAACTAGCTGCTAATCTCTGAGCGGTAGTCGTCTGTTCTTGCGTCGACAGGTTGTTAGCATAATTAGCATGCTTAGTGAAAAATTGATGGCTGATGTTGTATTTTTAAAAAACCACAACATTTTCTTGGCAAGTAAGACATACTGTCACGGTCCCCGTGTCTCTCTGGCTGGCTCACGCTGGCTACAGGTTTTGTTGTTGTTTTTTGTTTTTGTTTTCTTTGTCTTTCCTCCTCCTCTCTGCCTGGGTGGAGCTCGTTACGGGCTCTCGCTCTTGGCCCATGCACCTGTGTGATTGTCTTCACCTGCGGCTGATCTGGCTGATTTCGCCAGCTGCTTTTTAAGGCAGTGGCACAGAGCAGCTCACCGCTGGAACGTTGAACCTCCTGAGTTCGTGCTCTCGGCATTATCAAAAGAATTCTCTGTGTGTATTTTTGAAGTGGAACTAACATTGAATTCTGTGTGTAGATATCCCTCTTCTGGACCAAATCACGGGACCTGCCCGGGTGTGGCAGCGTGTGTGGAGTTTCAGAGCGAGTGTGACCGAAGAGGAGTGAGTGTGTGCGGAGGAGCTGTGGCGGTGACTGTGTGGAAGAGGAAGTGTGTGTGTGGATTACCCCCCTCTATTGCTGGAGCCCTGGACCCCGCTCCCAACTCGCTGTACATATATATAGCACTGAGGTGATCCCTATTGTAAATAAATTATCTCCTTTTGTTCACAAACAAAGAATTGTCTGCGTGTGAGTCCGTCCAGTATCCATGACACATACAGCCTTTGACTGAACTTCTGTGAAAAAGTATTTAGTTGTCCTTTCCTTGTTAAACACTCAGCACTCACTGTCGACTTTTCTTTTCTTTGGCCCACTCATTGTTGCAGAAAGGTTCAGAGCAGTAGCAGAGTAACAACAGAGAGTAGCTTGGGCTTGTACAGTTTTCAGTTTTCACAGCACAAATGTGGCAGGGTTTGGCTTGTGGTGCGGTGCAGTGCAGGGAAGGCGGACACACCTGTGCGGCATTCGGCTGCTTGAGCTGGGAGCGGCGGTGGCAGTGAAGGAGATGCCGCATGAGGAGACAGAGGTCCCCATGCCAGGGGAGCCTGCTTGAATGGAGCTGGCGAGTGAGGCGCGCGCCAAGATTGAGATCGGCATGCTCCAAGCTTGAGATCGACGTGCTGACCAGACCGACCTCACCCCCACCAGAGGCCGGTGTACGCTGGACATCTGCCCAGCTGCCTGTGAACTGGGGCTCACGGTCAAGCTTCGCCGGCGCCGCTAGATTAATGGGTGGCCACCTGAACTCACATCCCCCGTCGCTTGGCCAGGGCCTGGGGGCGCCAATGGTCCGGGCTGATTCCCTCTCCCGCTTGCGGTGGGGGAGTAAGTTTGGCCAGATGCTCCCGGCCTCAGTCGGGCAATGGGGGTGCTGGGAAGGCGAACACACCTGCACGCCATTTGCAGTCATGCCCCGCCAAGTTTAATATGGTACTGGGTCCTGCATTGTGGTTGTTGTTGGTTGTGTTGTTATCTTGAGCTGGCAGCAGGAGAGCTGCAGCTCTGTGTTCGAATAAAGAGATGCTTAAAAGCATGAATGTGTCATTGGATCTGCCATGGTCATTCACTGCATACTTAATTGGAGTAACTTCACACTGTGTGCCCGCACCGTGATTTCATGGTGGGCTGGAATAAAAAGCCCAATGGGCCGGAGGTGACCCGCGGGCTGTAGTTTGCCCACCCCACAAACTAAACAAAAACACCAAAAACAAAAACCCCACTTTGTGTTTATGTTAATTTCTATGCAAATGGCAGTAATTGCTTACTGGTTAGTGGGGTATTTTCTCTAAACCTTGAATTAAAATGTGACACCCTGAACTTCATGCCAATGTTACCTGTTTATTATATACAAGCAACACAGTAACACTTACAGCTGGAGCTGGAGCTGAAGCTGGAGCTGGAGCTGGAGAGGTCTTGGAATTGGATGCCAATTCTTGGTGGCGCTGTCATTTGGTGATCGCTCTCTCTGCGGTAGAGTATCACTTCCTGTTTCTGCTCAAACACAGTGGTGTTTTTGAGTAGCTTATCTGCTTAGCAATTTAATTAAAAATTTTAAATACATTCTTTTTTCATAGTATAATCTTCACGTGCTTCATCCGAAGCACACTTTCTGTGTACTCACTACCTAATTTATAGCCAAAGTATTCACTCACTGTGTCTGTACTGTTTTGTTAATGTTACAAAATAAATATATTGTTAGTGCTTATTAAGTGCTTATTGTTACTTGTTTTTAATATAGTTTGCTTCCAGTCTACACACAGAGGATCAACATGAAATTAAAACAGATGCAAATTTTGTATGAAGTACATGACTGATAACTGGTCTGTCCTATGTTTTTGTTTCTTATAGCACAGATTGGATCACACCACAAGTGTTCACGCAAAATGGGCCAAATTCACAGCTGTACTGACTTGTGGATGCGATCTATTTCATGTTTAAGGATTCTAATTGACAAATTGAAAGTTAGTGTCTGAGAGAAAATATGAAGTGCCACACTATCAGATGCCAGTGATGGTTGGGCTCAGTGATGAATCAGGTGAGCTGGATTCATGGCTGAATAATCACATAAATTCCCATGCTGTGCTCAGTGAGGGAAGGGCAGTGAGGAAAACTGAATTCCAAATGTGAAGTTGATGCTAACACACAGGTTTTGTTTCTAGGTAGTTCTAGGGATGCAGGCTCTGGGTGGAGCCAGGAGTTTAAAAGATTTAACATGATAATTAAACAGATTTTATTCCTTAACACAGGTTTGCAGGCCCGAAGCAAACATACTCGAGAGGAGAAATGCTAAGGTTTTCTGAGAAATAATATGACTAACCTTTTTCTTTTAATTTCCGAGATGTGGTGAAGCATTTTCAGTTTGTGTGACACATAAAATGTGTCAAAGGGGGAATTTTAGGTTTGATTTGATTGAACTGATTGAAAATGCTTGTTTTCTCTTTGATCTCTTTTATTAGAATAAGTGCTTATAATCATTTTCTTATACATATTGCAAATGTTCAATGCTCATAAAGAGTTAGCATTCAGTCTTTTGAGGGTCATAAGCATCATCTGGCGGGACTGTCCAGATGATCTATTGTGAAAGATGACGGAGGGCAATAAAAGGTCGATTCATTTAGAGGTCAGAGTTAAGGCACATTTTGCTTGTAAACTGCATTTTGCACTTGCAGGGCAAGAGTTTTTTGGTACAGCATGTGCTCATGATGTTTCAGAGATAAGCGTGAAGAGAACAATAATAGGAAACACCTGGAGGGAAGATGGTGAAAGCGGCTCTTTAAGCGTGTTAAAGGTTGTCAACAGTGTCGCCTACACACATAAATAATATTGAGACTAATTATAAAGGATAGCCCAGAACATGATAGTCGGAACTAATTTTGAATAACTAAAAAGAACAGTGGATGAAAATTTAGATTATTGAGGCGTCGTAGAGAGAAGTGTTTTCGTTTTCTGTCCTTTACAGGAGAAGGAGCAGATGCCAGAACCACAGCAAAACCACGAAGGGGGTTGGCGAGAATCCAGGAACTAAGAGAAGGGGCAACCAAAAGAAGCACAGAGCACAGAGAAACCTCCCAGAAGATCAAAAGCTCGTTAGACAGAGGTTATAATGTGAGCACAAAGTAATGAAGAGTAATGAGAGGGACTTTAGTAATAGTTTGGATGATTTCTATATTATGTCAATTGCCCAAACACTGTGGTCATGCCCAATCTAATTTACCCGTTAAAGGGGGCGAAGGGAGAATGAAGTAAACTGTAAGCGTGTACTTAGAAACCAGGAGTAAGTTTTAAAGAGGAAACAGGTTAACCCTATAGAGACCGTTTCCAAAGATTAATAAAAGTAATCTAGGACCTTTTAATAGGACAAAGCTAATTATATCTGATAGGATTTGACCGTGAGCAGTAAGGAAAGTAAGAAGTGGGTTTAAATTGTGATTCTGGGGTGAAAAGGGGGTGTTAGAAACTGAAGGAAGGACAGCTCACAGCCCAGCGTAAACGTGAGGTGCTGTCTTAGAGCTTGATCTATTTGTTTGATTTATTTGTTGTGGAAATAAGTAATTATGCCACAATAATAAGGGAACATTGAAAATATAGAACCTGTTGAGGGGACGGATGACATACATGGTTGGGCAATTGAAAGGTTTCATTTTTTTGGCATGATTTCTTTTGTTATACTTTAGCTATTATTCTCTCATGCAACTTAATGGGATAAATCAGGAATTATGTTGTTTTTCTTAGGAAACACGAACACGGGGGAGACTGTTACAAAATAAATATATTGCTAGTGCTTATTTAGTGCTTATTGTTACTTGTTTGCTTCCAGTCTAAGAAAGGGCCAACTTTGAGTATAAACTAGGTCAGAGGCTGACAGGACGTAGACAGACAGAGTGTGCTGCAGAGTTGTTTTGATCAAAACTGTGAGTGTGACGTAGAAGGGAACTATATACGCCTTTGGCTTGCAATGCTTTTAGACCTGTGGGCAACCATAGTCAATTGTCTTCCAGGGGCCAGAGCAGGCGACATTGAGGGAAATTTAAAACTGCTGGCTAAGGGTAAACGTAAATTCAGTAAAATCATAATTCACGTCGGCAGTAATGACACCCGCTTACGCCAATCGGAGGTCACTAAAATCAATATTGAATCGGTGTGCAACTTTGCCAAAACAATGTCGGACTCTGTAGTTTTCTCTGTTCCTCTCCCCAATCAGACCAGGAGTGACGTGTTTAGCCGCATGTTCTCCTTAAATTGCTGGCTGTCTGAGTGGTGTCCCAGAAATGATGTGGGCTTCAGAGATAATTGGCAAACCTTCTGGAGGAAACCTGGTCTTGTTAGGAGAGACGGCATCCATCCCACTTTGGATGGAGCAGCTCTCATTTCTAGAAATATGGACAAATTTATTAAACCTCCCAAAATATGACTATCCGGAGTTGGGACCAGGAAGCGGAGTTGCAGTCTTACTTGCCTCTCTGCAGCTTCTCTCCTCCTGCTACCCCTCCCCCCCAAAAAAACCAAAAACCAAAAACATCTCCATTGAGACTGTGTCAGCTCACGAACAGACAAAAAACAAACTAAAAACCAGTAACAAACAACTTAAACATAAAAAATCACAAAGAAATAATAATACAGTATCCACATCTGAACCAAAAAAAAAAAGACATTTTTATGCCAGATGATTTCTTCAAGCTGCTACAACTCTTTTGAGATGCTTATGATAAAAACTGGAAGAGAACAGCCCGTATACGGCATTTTAATTTATCGTTCACCTGGGTCTGCTGCGTCTTTTCTGTCAGACCTACAAGAACTTTTAACTTCCACTATTAAAAAACAATTATCATTGTTGGAGATTTCAACATTCATGTGGATGACTCAACAAACAGTACCACTAAGGAGTTCCTGGGCATTATGGACTCTTTCAACTTTGTTCAGCATGTAGTAGGGCCTACTCATATGGCTGGGCACACTCTGGACTTGGTCTTCACCTATGGTGTTTCCCTTGACCACTTGAAGTTGCTTCCCCTAGGCAGCATCATTAGAAGACATAGTATACAATTTCACTGCTATGCAGATGACACCCAGCTCTATCTGTCCATGAAGCCGGATAACACACACCAATTAGTTAAACTGCAGGAATGTCTTAAAGACATAAAGACATGGATGGCCGCTAACTTTCTGCTTCTTAATTCAGATCAAACTGAGGTTATTGTACTCGGC